TTGGCAGACTTTTGGAATAATAGAAATTAGAGATGGGGGGAAAATATTTTTTGGTCACACAAAAACGATTCCCTCAACAATACAGGCCTGTTCTTTATAGGCTAAAAAGGTTGCCTGTCTTTCTTTCTTTCTTTCTTTCTTTCTTTCTTTCTTTCTTTCTTTCTTTCTTTCTTTCAGTTCCGTTTAGTCTACATTCAAGTTATGCATAAATGCTTGAGCAGGTGGGCTTCCCACAGGGAAAGTTGCTGTTTTGGAGGCTAATTTTGAAGACTGATTCTGTCCCATGAGCAAAGAGAAAAAGAGAGCCAGAGAGTCTGAGCTGAGGAGGGGAATGCTGCATCCCTCCAGATGTTGCTGGACTATGACCCCTATAATCCCTGGGGGAAAGGATGGGACTGTGTGGCTTAAAGAGACCAAACTTGGTGCCGCCATGCAGTGTCCTGGCGGAGCTGATAGGACCTCAGCAGAGCCCACTTTTGATGCTTTTTCAGGATCCATTTTTAGGTACTTGTCCTTGTCACTTTGTAACATTCTGAGAAGTTAAAATGGAAAGTTCCTGGTGCTGATGTTGGGCACAGTGATGCTTAACAATATGTATGTATGTATGTATGGGGGGGGGAGTTACTTGCAGACAGACATTAAAATGACACTAGACACACTACATACACTCTTCATCCTTTGCCTCTCTGCTGGTTGCCTAGCAACCCTCTGACTGCCTCCTAACTCTTCCCCTTCTTGAGAGCTATCTGACTGTGACTTCTTTGTGAAGGGGGGTCGAACTCCCCCTTCCCGGCTCTGTCAGCCAGCTTTCATCTACAGAGCCAGCTTCTCTCTCACTTGGGTCAATTTCTGAACCTGACTCTTCCCCTGCGTGCAGTTGAGCCACATCCTTGACACTTACTGAAATTTTGTTCATTTGTTCCAAACATATGTTTCCAATTAAAACTGAGCTTTAAAATAAATAACTTTCACTGTTCACTGGAATTTCTACAGGGGAATTCATACGGTAAGCTTTGCTCTTAAAAAACCTACTCTGTTATGAGTTTTTAGCATGCTGCTTTAGCTTGAAATGTTTGAAGTTTAAATCAGAGGTTCCTCTGATATTTTGATACTGTGTCATTAAGAGGACTTCATTCTTTCCCAACCTCCCCAGCTACAGAAACTGATTTTTTTGTGGCCTTTATTTCATTAGGTATCTAGCAGGTTGTTTGCTAAAGCTACTAGGATGTTTCCTGTGCTGCCCCAGTACAACCCTTTGGAAAACAGCCTGCCCTGGGCGTGGGGTGATGCTCTTGGTCAATGGGGCCCTGTCTTGCTAAGCACAGTACAGCAACCAGATCACTCTTTCCCCTGGGGCTGCGAAAATCCGTGCTGCAGCAGTGTGCTAAGAGCCCTGCCAGGGTGTTTTATATAAACCTGTTCAATCGTTACTGCTACTAACAACAACAACCATAGTAATCATAATCTACTATATATTTTGGAAGGTGGTTTGTCTGTCAGTCTATCTATTCTCTATGCATTTGGCCACCTCTCAAGTTTTGTTGTTGTTTAGTCGTTTACATTGGCTACCAGTACGTTTCCGAGCACAATTCAAAGTGTTGGTGTTGACCTTTAAAGCCCTAAATGGCCTCGGCCTATTATACCTGAAGGAGCTTCTCCACCCCCATCGTTCTGCCCGGATGCTGAGGCCCAGCGCCGAGGGCCTTCTGGCAGTTCCCTCATTGCAAGAAGCAAAGCTACAGGGAACCAGGCAGAGGGCCTTCTTGGTAGTGGCGCCTCCCATCAGATGTCAAAGAGATAAACAACTACCTGACATTCAGAAGACATCTGAAGGCAGCCCTGTTCAGGGAAGTTTTTAATGCGTAATATTTTAGTGTATTTTTGGTCTTTGTTGGAAGCTGCCTAGAGTGGCTGGGGAAACCCAGCCAGATGGGCGGGGTACAAATAATAAATTATTATTATTGTTGTTGTTGTGTCCGACTCTTCGTGACCTACCATTGACCAAACTCGGCACCAGGGTTTCCAAGTTGGAGGTGGTAGCCTTTGTTGACATTTGGATGCCAGATAGTATTTTGAATCAAGATGGCAGACCAAAATGTCACATTGGCATGACTTTGCCCATGTTTTCGGGGGCCATGGGTTTGGCCCCCTCTCGAGATATCATCACTAAACTCTGCATGAGGGTTCTTGAGGAAGGGGCAGCAATCTTCATCAGTGGTTGAGTGCCAGGTACCATTTTGAATCAAGATGGTGGATCAAAGAATGACTTTGGCTTGGCTTCACCCAATTTTTCTCATGACAGATACTAGCTCCAACTACACTATTCCCCCCCCATTGAATTCCCAGGTAGCAGTGGGCACTTCCTGCTAGAGATAATATTAATAAACGATGAGTTATTTATCTGTTATTTTTCTCTGTACATTTTGCATTTTGACGACCAACTTTTGCATGGTTCTTGAAATAAAGGAGCAGGTTTTCATCTATGTTGGTTCCAATGAATGAAAATGATGGATTGAACCTTTCAAAATTGCACTGGTTTTTGTTTATTTGTTTCTTAGAATTCCCAAGCAATGACAGGTATGAGCTGCAAACAGTTGCAGGTGATGGGATGAACTCTGTTACCATTAACTTGTAAAATCATTTGATTTATGTTTGCCTTTCCATGTACAACATGAACTAGTTGGCCAAATGAGACAAAAAGTACAACTCCCACCATGCCTGTGCATTGGCCAGGCTGCCTGGGGTAGATGGGAGCTGTAGTTAATATGAGGGGCACCATATTGGCTACTCCTGCTGCAGAAAATGGGAGAACAGATGGGGGAGTAGAACTTTGGGAGGAATCAACACTTCTCCGTTATTTTCCTAATCTTTACACACACACCAAACACTTATGGGTAACTATGAAGGAAATAGTTTTGGAGGATTTATCTTGGAGAAATGTGTGAGCAAAAGGGTGAAACAATTTCTTGATAAGATCCCCACCTGTTCTGAACTAAAAAGAAATGTCATCTAATTTCTTTAATCACTAAAATTCAACTGTAGAAATTCAGTTCACCTAACTGAAAAGTGATTTTGTATGTCTCTTAGTTTTTTATGTAACACAACATTGGCATTGCAGAATTACAGGGTGCAGGTTAATTCCTTCTGAATTATGAATCCATTTCTCTTGCCTTAATTCAGCTCCAGTTTGTAAGTTGACCTCCAACTTGGAGTTAATTAGGAGCACTGCAAGACTGGCATGCAGAGGAAATGAAAGGATTTAATGTACCTCCTAAGAGTTTCTTTCAAAAAAAGGAGGAAAAATGTATGACATTTTCTTCCTTTGCCTTTTCAGCATAATGATTAATTATGAATTTTATTTTCTGCTCATTTCCTTGCTTTTTCTGCAGGATGCTTGTGAGCGTTGAAGATTCTGAATGTGCTGAATAAGGCTGAGGCTTGGGGGGGGGGCATAGAGGAGGCCCATAAATTCCACCCCCTAATTTTCTGAACCCTAAGAGTTGTTGGTTTGGCCACATCTGAACATAAGGACCACCCGATGGATGAGGCCAGTGGACCATCTAGTCTAGCATCCTGTTTGCACCAGATGCCTGTGGGGATCTGGCAAGCAGGAGCAGAGCAGAGGAGCACTCTCCTACTCCCATGGTTTCCTGCAACTGGGGTGCAGAGGCATTTATTGCTGCTGATGGTGGAGGCAGTTGGTGGCCATCTCTGCCTCCTGCGGGAGTGAGTTCCATAGTTTAACTCTGCACTGCATGAATCAGTTATTTATTTTATCTGTCCTGAATCTTCCAACGTGCAGCTTCACTGGATGTCCAGAGTTCAAGGGCTACAAGAGAGGAAGAAAAGCTTTTCTCTACCCACTTTCTCCCTGCCATGCATAATTTTATAAACTCCCATCCTGTCACCTCTTACTTGCCTTTTCTCTAAACTAAAAAGTTTCAGATTTCTTCCCATATTTAAATCCAACAGTATCTTTCGTGCCCTCGGTCTAGTGCAGAATAAATAATGGATCAAGTGGATGAAACACAAGCCATTCTTTTAAAAATCAGGTGCTTTATAACAACACACTTTGTGTAGTACGTATTCATGGAGTTTTGTGTGACCCCACATACAGTATTTTTGTTGCCTTCTCTAAGGTGGGAAGGTTATTTGAGTAGTAAGAAGCTTCACATTTAAAAGAAACAATGGCCACACATTTGATTTCTGCTGCATCAAGTGGTGATTATTGTGTTTAACCGAGGGATGAGGGAGGTATTAGATTCAGGTTGCCTTTAAAGGAAAATCTACATAATGTGCACTTTCTGAAACAATATGAGAACCAAAAACACTTCCATCTTTTGAAATTAACATATCTCCAAATTTTTCAGCCAAAGCAATGTGTACAAAAATGCACATACTAAGGAAAGTGTGCACAAATACAGGCAACTCCCAATTTACACACACACACTATTTGCATGTAACCGCACATATGCATGGTGCCTGGAACCTGGAAATGGAGAACATCCTGGATAGTTCTCCTGGCTCACGAGGATAAATGCAGGCAACTCCCTATTTATGCGCTCTTTATTTGCATGCAAATGCACAGTGCCAGGAACCCAAAAGTGAAACCTGGAAATTGGGATCACCCTGGAGATTTCTCTTGTCTGACAAGGAGACCTTCCGCTGAGTCTGAAGAGGATGTCATCTTTGGGCTCTGGAGAGGGTCTCCCCTGAGCCGGAGGCGCAATAGGGCTTTGTTGAGGCCTTCCCGCCCAACAGCTGATGTGTGGGGTAGCACAGCAGCAGCTGCCACTTCCCCGCACGTCAACTGTGTAAGCCCTGCTGCTCCCCTTGGGGCTCTGGGGAGCCAAGAAGACTCTTCAGGGTGCTATGTCATTTTGGTCACATATGTCATTTTGGTCACATGCACAGAGGCCCAGAATATAGCCCCCATGTAAATTGGGAGTTGCCTGTATGAAAATGACAAACAAAAATACATTATAAAATAAAAAAAAATCCTTCCAGTAGCACCTTAGAGACCAACTAAGTTTGCTATTGGTATGAGCCATACCAGTAACAAACTTAGTTGGTCTCTAATGTGCTATTGGAAGGAATTTTTTTATTTTGTTTTGACTACAGCAGACCAACGCAGCTACCTACCTGTAACTAACAATACATTATGTATGGGGAAATTGCTTCACAAGTATCGGTATATTAGGAGAAATTCCCTGCTGAATTTTCATTGGATCACATGTTCTAAATTGAGATTCCTGCATGGCAGGGGGTTGGACTCCACAAAAAGTATAGTATGAGTCCTTGTGGGACACAGAGAGGTGTTTACAGCAGGCTTTCTTGAAAATAAAAGCAGACATGTAGCTGTTACTTGTATTCTTTTTTATTTTTATTTTTTAATATTTTTATTTTGCTTTAAACAAATACATATAAATATAGACAACCAAAATTACAAGAGAAAATGCCTTAAAAATAATAATAATGAAAAAAACTACAAGAAATATCAAAGTACATGGCATAAAACATAAGCCACTATGGAAAAGGAAAAAGGAAAGGAAAAAGAAAAAAAGAAAAAGAAAAGAAAAAAGAGAAGAAAAGAGCCAAAGCAGGAAAGCGCATGCTTCTTTCCATGATTGTGGTATATCTTTCCCTCCCAATATATTATTCATTATTCTAAGTAATATAGGGAGGATTACTTCTTCCAGGTTCTTATAGTGCATTAATGTGATTCCGTCAAGACCTGGCGATTTGCCACTCTTCATTTTCTTTATTACTTGCGCTATTTCATCTAATTCTATATTGGAGTTTAGGGCCTCAACTTCTTCTTTTTCAATTCTTGGTAATATATTTATACTCTTCCATTTTGTTAACATCTAATTGTTCTTGTTTATACAAATCTTTATAAAAGTTTAAAAATTTTATTTTTATTTATACTGGGTTGGTTATTTCCTCCCCTTGGTCCAGAATTTTATTTATATATTTTTTTGTTTGTTTGCTTTTCCTTTATCATCCATGCTAACAACTTACCGGGCTTATTGGCGGACTCAAAATACCTTTCTTTTGCCCATTTAATTTTATTTTTTATTTTCTACTTCCTTATTTAATATACTAGAGATATGGGATTGCAATATCTTTATTTATTATTTATTTCTTCCACTAGTGGCTGCTGTGTTGCTCTTCCTGCTGTTCCTCGCTCTATCTTTCTCTGGTGTTAAAGCGGCTCTTTGAAGTCTTTTCCAGTGTAGTCTTTCAGTAATGGCCACCGCCCACCTCACTCAATCTGCTGACTCACTTCTCCAGCCTTCTCTTCACCTCTCCAGATCTCCGCAAGTCTCTGGTAAAGAGCTCTCCTTATTTCTGTCATCTGTTCAGCTGGTCTAAACTGTTCCCCCGCTCCAAACTCCAGTTGACTGTGTTATTTTGGGAGCGCAGAGACGCCCCTCAAGATCTCTACTGCACTGCTGATTCTGCAGCTTTAATTTCTGTTGTGAGGGATGACCCCCCTTTCCACTCGCAACTTCTTAATTTTATCTGTTTGTTAGTTCCCCCCCTTTTTTGTTTCTGATGTATTGTTGGGGCTTAAATAACCCCTTTCTCACTGTATATATTGGGGGGGGGATGCTCTTTGAATTTGTGTCAATATCTTACTGGAGAGTCCAGCGCTCATGGGGTCTGGAGGCGAAGGCACCAGAGGGCGGTCTCCTTTGCGCTGAGGTTTTCCCCTAAATTTCTTCTTTTTAAAGTGTCTTAAAGTCCAGTTCTAGTGTAGGGAAACACCTTTTTGCGCCGCTGAGCCTCTGCTCCTGGGAAATCCACCCGAGCAGGGGCAACTTATGCCTCCTGTTGCTCCTGCTTCGCCTCTCCATGTGCCGAGTCTGCCTTGAGCAGCTTAGAGCTCTAACTCTGACCCGACACTGAGCGCGCTGTTACTTGTATTCTGTCTCTTTTAGCTACGGTTAATTTTAATCATATTTTGAATGTTTTGAAATGCCTGTTTCAAACTGTTTTTTAAATTGATAATTTTAAGGTTTTCTATTTTTGCAAACGTAGTAGAGGTTCTCTTGCAATGAAGTGATAGGTACAAAAGAGAATAGATATTAAAGAGAATAGATAAATAACCTTGGCAGTCATGGTCCCAAATTACTGGCGCATCCTTCTCTCTAGAAAGAGCTGCAGCTGGTCCAGACAGATGGTCCAGGCGGCATCTTGCAGGAGCACCACCACTGAACTGCAGAGTCTTCCGCTTCGTGGATGCTGATGATACAGTCTAGGCTGTAGGGTCTTTCCTCCAGTGGGAGGGGATACGAGGTGCTGCAGGTTCACTGAGGGCCCTGCTGATGGTGACAATGCCAACTCAAGAATGAGCCCTTCCACAGATCTGTACCAACCTTCCCCAGTCTGGTCAACAACTTCCATCAACCTCAGCTAGCATTCCCAATGCCCAGGGATAATGGGAGTTGTTTTCCAAAATAACTGGTTGGGGAAGGCTGACCTAAACACAGATTGATTTCAAATAGAAAATTCACGTAAAGCTAGAAAACTATGAATATTTGTGTGTGTTTGTGTAACACACACACACACTTTCCTTGTAGCATTTTCATACAATTGAAAACATAACTATGTACTTCAGTGTGTTAAAACATTGTGTGTTAGAAGCCCCGAGGGTAAGGTAGATCTTATGGCCAAAGCTTTGGAATCCCTGGATGCCATGATCTGCGAAGAATTTTCTTTCAAGCCTTGTGCATCAGTGATGTATACTTTCCCGTTATTTAATATGTTTTCTTATTCATCCAATGGCAGACTGGGTTCAGAACATGTGTAGGTAGTTATATTTTGGGATTCTACACATACTGAGAAAAGGGAAAGCAAGCAAGAGTGTGCATTTCATGAAGCTTCTGTAGCAATTCGAAAATAGCTTTGGCAATTTATTAGAAGGAAACAAAACTCTTTTATCGGTTAGGATTACAAATTTTACAGACAATTGTTATTTGGAGAATGAAATCCAAATTTGGCAACTCTCTCTTGGTTACTCATGTTAAGGCATGGGTTGAAAAGAAATAATTGTTGCATTATGGGGGGAAATCTATTTTGTAGCATGTGGGTACCATTATTTCCTCTTTTCCCTTGACTGCCTTCAGTCATAGAAGTTTGAAGGGACTCCAAGAGTCATCTAGTGCACCCCCTGCAATGCAGACCTTCACCCTAAAAACTTTTGTTCTATGGAATATTTATAGACCACTATTTAATTAAAAGATATCAAAGCGGTTTACAGCAAAAATACAAAAACCATACAGTAAAAAGCTTATTTAAAGGTTTCCATTGTGGAAAGATGTATTTTCAGTCCCCTGCAAAATAATCAAGACAGAACAGAAAAGTTTTCAGCAGGCATTTAAAAGCTACAGCAGAAGGTGCCTGTTACAATTCCTGTTGCAGCATCACACATTTTACATTTTCATGGAATCTGTAATTTCGCAGTATGTTCTTGGAAATCCTTTTCTGCTAAAGTATGTGCAGTTGTGTCTACTCTTTCACTACCATACCTTTGCGTTCAAGGTCCACTAAGGAGTGAATCTCTTGAGGACTCCAAACTTTGGTGCAACTTTGAGCAAATATGCATACATACCGTAGTTTGTATGGAAACAATTTCCAGAGACACCGTTGAAGTATTAGGAGGGAATCTGAGGGTCTCTGAGGATTGCGGGGGGGGGGGGGAGACCCTGTTTTGCTCTCTATCACCTTCAGGCCCCTTTCAGTTGCAGCCCCCAGACCTTCCCTCAAAAGTTCACCTACTTATTTCCTTTTTAATAATTGGATATCTGGTGAAGACTGTCGTATTTTGATAGACATTCAGCACTGGTTGCTTCCCTTTAAACTGTGTTGTTTTGATATTTCTGATGGCTTTGTTGCTTAGGTTCAGGTTTTTCTTGATATTACTTTGACTTTTGTTTGTTCACTATTCTGAGAACATTTGGTTGATCCTAATAAAGGTGCTGACCAACTGTGGGTCTTTGATTTTTATGTGAATCTTTTAGATCACTTTTTTGGGGTAGAGAAGTGTTTTATCAATTGTAATATATACAAGTGTATTACAACTCTGGAACCAACCTAGAAAGTACAGCTTTAGAGGACCAATATAGCACTGACAACTCACATGCCAAATCTCCAGAGCAGCAAACAATGAACAGAATGGCACTGCTAGATGCAAACCTAGGCCCAGTTGACTGACGCAAGTATCCAAAGCCCTGTAGGAAGTCACTCCTTCAACTTTCCTTATCCTGGAATATAAAGCCTGGCCAATATATTGGAGGATTTGAAAGAAATTGAGTCTTCAAGGTAGTTCATGAGCTCTTTACGATGTTGCATCTCATCAAGGAGGTGGGGCTTTTTAAAAAAAGACATCAGGGTTGGCATAAACACTCAGTTCAGCCCTGGCAGCTGGAGGAAGGTACCTTGGAGCTGTCGAAGGTCCTGCATACTGTGTTTGGCCAATCTTTTTCCTGCCATCTTGCTTTGTTCTGCAATCTGCTCTCTACTGGTTTGTCTTCCTGGTTCACCTGTTAGCCTCCACTTCCATCTCGTAATCTATCTCATGAGCCTTCAGTGACCAAGACACAAGAACTCAGCAAAAGGGCATTGTGTTTGGTGGTGTCTCTATGTTCTGAATAAATATGGTCCTCCTGTTTCACCTGCAACATTGTTCCTATGTCCATTGTTAACATCTCTTAAATTCCAGTAGCTACTCAGCCATTCTGGTCTCCTGTTAACTTTACCCAGAGACCAGTAAGACTGTTTCCCCCAGCAGAATTTCAGCTTGGATCAGTGGGCAAGAGAATTATTGAATATCCATTGGGGTGTGTGTTTGTGTGTGTTTGCTCTATATTATCTGGGAATAAATGTCCTCCTTTAAATCTTGAATTTGTAAACTGGAACACTATTTTGGGGCTTGCACAATTATTCTGGGATTTATACCCTTTCTTGTGGTGATTATTATGATCCCCTATGTTTGTGTCTTAGTGGGGAGTCATTTTAGGAAAACAGATTGACTATTCACTTTTGCACACTTTGTTGAAAGCTGTTAGTGGGAAATCGTGATGACAGA